AAAACCCAAGTGGTCTGATTAAAAAGTGTGCGGAGGATCTGAACAGGTATTTTTCCAAAGAAGACATGCAGACGGCCAACAGGCACATGAGAAGGTTCTCCACATCACTAACATCAGGGAAATGCAAATCAAAACCACAATGAGATATCACCTCATGCCTGTTAGAATGGCTGTTATCAAAAAGACAAGAGATCACCAGTGCTGGAGAGCACGTGCAGGAAACCCTCACCGACTGCTGCTGAGAATGTAGATTGGTGGAGCTACTACGGAAAATAGGATGGAGGTTCCTCACAAAAGAAAAACAAGTGCCATGTGATCCAGCAACCCCACTTCTGAGTATATATCCAGAGGGTATGGATTCACTATTTTGCAAACATAGATGCACTCCCATGTTTATTGCATTATTCACACTAGTCAACGCATGGAAACCATGTAAGTCTCCGTCATCGGGGGAATGGATACAGAAATGTAGTCTATAGATAGAATTGGATGTTATTCAGCCGTAAAAAATGAGATCCTGCCATTTGTGACACCTTTGATGGAGCTTGAGGGAATTATGCTAAGTAGAAAAAGTGTGACAGAAAGAGACAAATGCTACATGATCTCACTTATATGTGGAATATAAAAAAGCCAAACTCACAAAAAGTGAAGCTTGGTGTTTGCCAGGAGGTGGGTGGTGGGGAAAAAGAGGAAGCATTGTTCGAAGGGTACAAACTTCCAGTTATAAGAGGAGTAAATTCTGGGGCTCTGACATACAGCATGGTGGCTCTAGTTAACAATATTGTGTAATTGAACGTTTCTAGGAGAAGATTTAAAAAATTCTCACCATAACAATAACAGCAGCAGTGGCCGCGGTGATCACGTGGCGTGAAGGCTGAGCTAATCAGCCGTGCTGTGGTCATTATTTAGCTACATATAGGAGTTTTAAATCAATACTTTGTATACCTTAAAATTAGACAGTATTGTATGTCAATTACATCTCAAAAAAGTTGGAAAAAAAGTTCTGAAAGAAGCAAAGAAAAATTGAAAAATTGTGAAAAAGAAGATAATGAAGATAAAAATAGCTATCAATGACAGAAGGTAGAAAAACAGATGAATCGATGTCACTTACGTGAGTAGGCGCCTGTGGGAAAAAAAATAAACCCACAGGTAGTAAACCACGTGTCGAAGAGCCTCATAAAAAAGAGAAAGAAAATAAATGCCAAAATAAGATGAAGCGAACAGAACGACAAATTTATGTTAGAGAAAAATTCTGACACTACTTTATACAGTTCTGGGCTAAGAAGTTTGGATCTCTACATGCAATGGGTGGCTACCTAAGAAAAACTGACCCAAGAAATTTGGCCTAAAAAATAATGAATGAGCCACGTAAGGAAATTTGACTCAATATTGATTCAAGTGAAAGTAGAAAACAAGACTAGTCAATAACAATACAGGTTTCAGAAGGCTGACCGCCTTCCGAAGCGTCTGGTTCCGCCTGGGTTTATCAGCGCTTTCTCTGAGATGTCCGGGAAGCAGACGTTTCCGATGCCCTGCAGAGTGTTCCAGATTATGGAGCTGGAAAGCTTCTCGATAGACTTAATGATACCAAACTTGAAAATGCACCAAATACGCAACTACGACTTAGTGCTTCTGGCACTGTTCTCTCACATGTCCCCGAGGTGACCAGGGACTCTTCTGGACCTCGGAGGACGTGTTCTAAAGGAGCTGTCTTTTTGTTGAGCATATCATGATTTGTAATGAGAACTCAAGCAAATAATTGTATTTGATAATTTTTCCACATCTGTTTAAAAGCATTGTCTCTTGTCTGAATGTTTGTGTCCTCCCAGACTTTCATGTTGAGAGCCTAAAGCCCTGTGCGGTGGGATTCATAGTTGGAGCCTCTGGGAGGTGCCACAGTCCTGGGTCGGGGGAAGCCCTCGGGAATGGGAGCTGTGCTCTAACGAAGAGGCTCCAGAGGGCCCCCCCGGCCCTCCCGCCTGGCGAGGACATGGCACGGGCGCTGGCCGTGACCCGGGAAGGGGCCCTCGCCAGGAGGCGGCCGTGCTGGCACCCTGATCACCAGAACCAGGAGAAGTCATTTTCTGTTGTTTGTAAGCTGCCCTGGTCTCTGGTATTTTCTTACAGCCGCCCAAGCCAACCCAAACCAGTTTTAACTGGACGGTTACATTTCTCATTTCGCCGTACCCTACATACTCAAATAAAATTGAATTCCTGTTATTACTTCTGAGGACTTTCACGGTTGCTGGCACGATGTATCCCATGGCGCCTGCATTCTCCAGAACAGTTCTAGCTCAGCCTTGCTGGTCAGTGTACGTGCAGGTGTTCTGAAGTAAATGCGTGTGGTGTGAATCAGGATGTATAGTAAAGGAAGAACATGTAACAGCTAAGTTGGGTTCATGGGACATTTTTTTTCTTGGAAAACAGGGTTATAATTTTGGAAAGAAGAGGTAAAATTATTGCCTACAGGTGATAGAAGTGTCTGTTAAAATGCAAGGAAGATCAACTGAAAAATGAATGAAAGAGGAGAATTTTGTAAAGTTATTAGAAGGTAAATCAGTGCACAGTAACTGGAGGCTGTTTTCCTTGTATTGAAAATATGAGCTGTGAAAGCTTTGATTTGGAGCAGGAACGAAAAGCATAAAATGTATGGCAACATCAGCAGCGAGCAGTCCGTGCCCATCGGAGCTGTCAGACGGGCTCTGTGTGAAAGCCAGTGAGACGCAAGGGGAAGTTCCAGCCAGGAGAGCTGGATTTGTAGATTCTGCCCCCCTTTCGAACTAAGTGAACCTGTTTGTTACTCAGCGGTTTATCTACCAGTGACCCGAGGCGGCTGTTTAATCCAGTTGCTGGTGTCGCTGCTCCGGCCGCACTGTGTTTTTGTTCTCTTTGCTGAGACAGAGGAAGGTGTGCTGTTGGCACAGGTTTAGTTTAGGCGCCAGCTGCTTGCGTCGGTGGTGCCTTGGCAGTTAAAGGAGTGTAGAACTTTGTTTAACCAAACTGCACCCCGGTCTGTCCAGTTGGTTGGGCAGAAACACTCGGCTGTGAGATTTATTTTTACTGAAGATCCCAGACTGTAATGGGGAGGATCTGCTGCAGTGGTTTCTTTATAGAAAGACCGTTGGTTACGCCGAAATCACGTGAAGCATCACAAGTGAGGAAATGACGGAGAATTGGAAAGACATGGGGAGAAATGCATAGATATACCCGCTAATTTTGGTCCAGAGAAATCACAGGCTCAGAGGAGAGAAAATCTGAAATACAGGGAAACACAATTAATCTAAAGGTAAATCCTGAGACAGACAGACAGCTGGCTTCCTTTTCCTGTCCCTGGCTCTTTGTACAGATAAAATCATGATGACTAGTGAAAATACTCCATTTTACCTATAAATGAAATTAAATTGTATTTTAACCAACTCCAGTTTACAAATTAATATAAAACTAAACATTTAAACAGAGATGATCATCTTCACGTGCACCCGCCCATTCTGTGGGCCTGGACCGGGTTCCGAGCGGCGGTTTGCCTTCGAGCATGTGTGTATTGCCGGGGTATGCAGCGTTGCTGACTTAGCAGATGTGTGCTCTTCGGAAGATGTTAGGTCCACGATGGGAAATGCAGTTTAGGAAACCAAGAGCAGATCAGAGCTGTCCCCCTTCCCCTGTGTGGAAACTCACACTGAAGCAGCCTCATAAAACACCAAGTCCTGGAAGACGCTGTGCGTTTGTCACCTGTGTCAGGAATGGTTGTAAATGCCTCTTACAGTGTGCTGCTTTCACGTCTTGCTCTATTTGAAGAGCTAAAGCTTAAAGGTGCACAAGACCTTGACACATTTGGAAGCCAGAACCTGTTTCTCAAAACCTCAAGTGATACCTGGCCCGTATATACGCATGCTGCATTCTTCCTTCTTTAATTTGTGTTTAGGAAATGGCTGGTTTCTCGACGACGTTGTGATCAAGGACCCCACCACAAACCGCGAATACGGCTTTTTCTGCCACAGGTTTGTGCATGTGCTTTATGTCGGCCAAGTTCATTTCACATTAGTTTCAGGTTCCTGTGTTTTGAAGCAACGGGTAGTTTATTCGTTCTTCCTAGTCGCTGATGCTTTGTTGGGAACCTGTTTTGAACACTACTTTTAGGGGCTGCTTCTCCCATTTAGAAAGACATCCATCATGTTTATCATTACTCCTGATGTTGCAAATTTAAATATTTTTTGGTAAAAAATATGATTTCTCTTTATATCTCAATAAGAAGGATGAAAGTTTCTGGCAGGAAAACTTACTCTCTAGGGACTGAGCCCCAAATTAGCTTCAAAAATAATAATTGTACAAAATAAATGTTGCACGTGCCTTTTCACAACTGTGACTGCTCACTCCCTGTCACTAGGTCTTGAGTGGTGGATTATTTTCCCAATGGCAGCGATAGATCTGCTCTTTCTTTCAGCACTCTCCTGCCTCTTTCCCCACAGAACCACTAATAATAATCACTTATGCAATAACTTACTGTAGTTTGGACTGTAGTTGGTAGCCAAAGGACAGCATAAAATAACTAGTCCAGTGGGGTGTAAAGTCTAGGGGCTTGGCAGGCCCACTGATCAGGCAGCTCACTGTGGGTTAGGGAGCAGCCTGTTGCATCCTTGCCCGATAGCAGCTTCTCCAGCCTCCCTTGCTCCCTCAGAATCATTTTAAGCATTTCCTTTTCCATTTTCTACTCTGCTTTTACCCACTAGGCATCTATGGCTCTTCCTGATTCCCGCTTTCCATTACTTCTGACTTGGCTAGTTGCCAGTGGTTAGTATATAATATAAATTCAGATTTACTTGGTATACCTTCTTTCCACAGGTGGCTGGATCAGGGGGAAGGTGATGGCAAAATTGTCAGAGAGCTGTATGCCAGGGATAATGCTGTCATCTATGCACGTGAGTGTCACACGTTTCTTGGAAAATTCTGTTTTGTACGGAGGGAGGGAAGCATGCCGCTGCTGAAATTAATGGTCCTCTCTTTTCCTTCCTATCCTCAGGGCAGAAGCTAGAAGTTAGTAGAAAAGAAATGGTAAGATTTTACTTATGGCTTTAAATAATTGGGTACAAGACAGTGTTCCAGCAGCCATTTGATGTGTTAAAAACAGTGTATAATGTTTAGTGAGGGGTGTTTCTTTCCGTTTGTTTTGTTTTTCTATTTAGTGGGCTGCAGAGAGCTGGAAGTTCAGGAAGGGAAACACTCTTCAGTTCTACAGCAGGCGGACTGGAGGGTTTGTCCGCCTGCATCCGGACGGCACAGCTGACGCAGCTGGAGAGAAGTCAGACAAACACAGTGAGTCCGCGGACAGAGTGCCCGGCGCTGCACCGGGGTCGGGAGCGGGAGGCAGCGCGTTCCTAGACCGCGTTTAAGTCTTGCTTCTTATTCTTCAGATGGTTTGCACCAGTATTTGACTGTTCAGATAATTCTTTGTCTGCATGAATCCAAGCCACCAGTACACTGCAGGCTTTACACCTGGGCAGACAGTGCAGTTACGCAGATAGTAAACCGGGAAGAAGCTTGTGTTCGGTATTACTTACTTGAATACAGTGTGGGCCATTAATGCAAGCCGTTCATGGAAGGCAGCAGTTGTAGCTCTTGAATGTGTGGCCATTCAGGGAATGAAGTTGGTTCTTCTAAATACCAAGTACCTGTTATGTCCAAACACCACGTTAAATAATTTGAGGGCCACGGAAATAACTAAGTGGCTACCCTGAATTCCAAAGATTCACGATCTGATAAAGAAGACGAACACATGCAACAAGTCTAATAATGGTCGTTTGTAGCTGGTGTCATGATGAAAGCACAGAGGAAACAGTGGGCCGGGGAGAACTGGGTTATGTGTTGTTTGGTGTCAGCAGCCCCTGAAGCCGTGAGCATCGCAGTAAGTGAAGAAGGAGTGAGCAGATCACGGGAGACCTTTGCCTGCAAACCCAAACCTCCAACTCCTCTTGAAGTCTAGGCTTTCACTGTTTAAGCAAAATTTGCTGCTGCGGAAGCAACTTTGCTCAAATAGCCCCGGGGATGTGCTGGAGACAGTAACATACGGCACCTCCTCGAAGTGCAACCTGCACCTCATAGTCGGAGCCCGGGGACAACCCAGCTCTCTCCCTGTGAGAACCCGTGGGAGTCTAAGAATACGTCTTCGTAGCTCCTCTGCCCAAAGCGAGCCTGTCCCTTAGACGCTTCTCTTCCCTCCTGGCTCCAGGTTGGGGTCACCGTCTCCTTAGATCAGTCGCAGTAGTTCTTCATGTCCTGCTCCCTGGGGTCCCTGCTGCCAACGCCGCTGCGCTTCCTCCTTGCTAAACCTGGCGAGCTGTGCCTCCAAACGTGCTCACAAAGCACCTCCCGTTGTCAAGTCAGGGACTGCGAAGGCGCTGACTCTTACCCTACTTGCAGCAAACCCCAGAGTGCTGAGTGAAGGACCAAGGTCATATTTTCTCACAGCAGACGCAGCAGCCAGAGCGACAACCTGCAGTGGTTCCCCAAGTCCGGGCCCATGGCGTCACGAGGCGAGGGCCTGACGGTACCTACATGTGCGGGTGGGCATTTTAGAGGAGAGAAGTCCCCAGACTAGGGAACTCTGATCTTAGACGACGTTGCCCGTTCTTCCTTCTAGCGAAAGGGAAACAGAGAGAGAGACAGAGACAGTGAGAAAAGAGACAGAGAGAACCTGTCATTATTCTGGAATGTAAGCAAGTCTTCTCCAGGGGAGGGAAGGGAAGGTTTTCACCTTTACTCCTCTGGGATGTTGAGAGGGGGAGAGAGAGACAGAGACAGAGACAGAGACAGAGACAGAGAGACACAGAGACAGAGAGACAGAGACAGACAGAGAGAGAGAGACAGATAGCTGAGCTTCACTGTGCTAGAATGCTCCCTTATACAAACATTTGGGAAATACCTTTATTCCAAGAGCCTGGACCACACAGGAGAACGGCAAATGTAGGGAGAACTGTCTCCTAAGACCCATCCTGCAAGCTGATTGATAAAGGGACCTTATCACTCCCACATCAGGAAGTGGAGTGACTTCCTTACCCCTCGCTGGGTCAGCCCTTTCTCCGTGTTTGGCTGACAATACAGACGCAGCAACACTGTAGCCCCCAGGGTCTGCCTCTGCTGCCGCACTTCTTGGATTAGTCCTTCTTGGAAGCCAGCCTTCATGCCGTGAAGAAGCCCAGGAAACTATGCAGAGAGGCTCCCCAGGAAAGAACCGGGGTTCAGACGGCCCCAGCTTGACGTCTGACCTGCAGCCAGCAGCCACTGCAGGCATGGAGACGCCGTAGACCAGACTAACCAGTTCATGAAGAAGATGGAGCAGCTTTTTACCCTTAAGAGTTCCCAGCATCTCAGTTCGCTGGTCCTGTGATACACAAAGCGGAGTGAGCGGTCCTAAAGCAGGCGGCGCGGGAGAGTCTGCGCAGGCTTCCTCGGCGTGACTGACGTTTTACGACAAGAAGTCTTTTATGTGTGATAATTCTTCACAGCTTAATTATTCGCAGCATTGTTTCCTGGTATTCTGGGCAGTGTCCCTGAATTCACACTCAGGAGCCAGTTTTCATCATATGCCTGGACAGTGTTGCGATGAACAAAGCTGACCCGCGAACACCTTCTCAAGAAGATATTATAAGAACATTTCTCAGACGTATCGGCTTACAATTTTCAGTCCACAAAAAATGCCGTTTTCTCACCGTGCGCCGGTCCTTCTATTTAGTTGTCATGCTGGTTGTGGATTTTGCTGTTTCCATACTCAGAGGGTTAGTTAGAAAGCTCATCGCTCCGAGAGCTGCTGAACCATTTCGTGGCAATACTGGGCCTAAAAGCAGATACACAGCACGAGAAGATCTCTGAAATACCAGAGGGAGCTTCACTGTATGATCATAAGCTCTGAGGTACTAAAAACAGCACTGCAGCGACACTGACGGTGAAACTCGGAAGCCAGGCTTCCTGTCTCGAGTGTGAATCCGAGGACTGAAAGGAAGGACCAGACAACCAGGGCAGTTCAGTTTTAGCTCTAAACCCTTCATGGCAACTTTGTGTCAGGGCCAGTTTCACAAACTTCCCATCGCTGACATCTAAATACAGATTCACACAGTTTTCTCATTTTATCGTAGTTTCTGACGTATAGCAGCATGATTCAGTTATGCATACATATTTATTCTTTCTCATATTCATTTCCATTAAAGTTTATTATAAGATATTGAACATGGTTTTCTGTACTATAGAGTAGGACCTTGTTGTTCATCTTTTTTTTATTGGAGTGAGTAGTTGATTGACAATGTTGTGTCAGTTTCCAGTGTACAGCATAGTGATTCAGTTATACATATATATATGTTATATAGATACTTTTTCATATTCTTTTTCATTATACTTTATCTGTTTTATATATATTAATTTGTATCTGCTCATCCCAAACTCCTAATTTATCCCTCCCTGCTCTTTCCCCTTTGGTAGCCATAGTTTGTTTTCTATGTCTGTGAGTCTGCTTTTGGTTTGTAAATAGAATTTGTATCATTTTTTAAGATTCCACATATAAGTGATATCATATGATATTTGTCTTTCTCTGTCTGACTTCCTTCACTTAAAATGATAATCTCTAGGTCCATCCATGTTGCTGCAAATGGCATTATTTCATTCTTTTTTATGGCTGAGTAGTATTCCATTGTATAAATATACCACAGCTTCTTTGTCCAGTCATCTGTTGATGGACACTTAGGTTGCTTCCATGTCTTGGCTGTTGTTAAATAGTGCTGCTGTGAACATTGGGGTGCATGTATTTTTTCAAATTAAGGGTTTTCTCTGGATATATGTCCAGGAGTGGGGTTACCACCTGTGTTTTCTTATAGAAATTTTATGGTTTCAGGTCTAATACTCAAGTTTTTAATTGATCTTGAGTTGATTTTTGTGTATAGTGTAAGATAGTGGTATAGTTTCATTCTTTTGCATGTGGCTGTCCAGATTTCCCAAAAATATTAATTCTTCCAATCCGTCAGCGTGAAATGTCTTTCTATTTTTTTTGTGTGTGTCTCTCAGTTGTCAGCATACAGGTCTTTCACCTCCTTGGTTAAATTAATTCCTAGGTATTTTACTTTATTAAAAAAAACTTGCCTTTATTTCTTTAATTGAAATATAATTGACACACAATATTATGTTAGTTTCAGGTACAGTATATAATAACTTGACATTTGCAAATGTTATGAAGTGATAAACATGATAAGTCTAGTAATCGGTCTGTCACCAAATAAAGTTATCAGAGTGTTATTGGCTGTATTCCTATGCTATTAGTTACGTCCCTGGGATTTAGTTACTGTAACTGGAAGCTTGTGCCTCTCAGTTCCCCTCACTTGTTTTGCCTGCCCCTCTCCCCCCCCCCCCTCCTGGCAAGCACCCTTTGTTCTCTGTGTTTATGAGTCTGTTTTTATTTGGTTTTGTTTTTTAGATTTCATATATAAGTGAGATCGTGCAGTATTTGTATTTGGGGATCTAAATAGCAGTCTTTTCCTAAAGAATATTTCTTGAGCACCTGCTATGTTCGAGGCA